GACGGCTTTGCCGTAGGCATAGCCCTGCCACGTGTCGCCTCCTGGCCTGCCAGCAGTTTGACGGCGCCGTCCGTTGCCGTCAGACGGAAAACTACGCCGACGGCTAAACTATGCCGACGGCTGCGCCAGGGCCGTCGGCACAGACCCCTATGCCGACGGCATTATTATGCCGACGGTCTGACAGGAGTACGCTGACGTAATCTAGACTGACGGCTCTATGCCGACGGCTGCCGTCGGCATAGGTCTATGTCGACGGCCTAGGGGCCTATGCCGACGGCCCGTGGCCGTAGGCATAGACCGCGAGTCCGGTAGTGACAGTCCTCAATGAACGCAGGAAGAAATGACCTCTCTCCTCGAGTTCATACACTTTCCATGGAAACAAACTCCAGCCAAGCTAGTGCTGCAGAATTCAGCTAGTCGTCTGGCTCAAGCTTAGCGCATCCCACCTCCTTCATGCGGTGCCAGTGCACTACACTACTCGCGCACACAAAACTGCCTCTCCGCCGACCTCAATGAAACGCATGCATGCAGCAACCCAAGTCGGCGCGCAAAATATCTCCACGCTGCCAGGACGGGACGACATTGCACCGTGACGGTGACTCGAGTGAAACAACTTCGAACCCAATTGGAGGGAGCCAACAGCAATATCTTTCACTTGAATAATTTATCTATCTAGGGGGATAGCACTCCCAAAGCAGAGATAAGAGGATGGCTCTGAAAGAAGGCAAAGCATCAGCGCACATTAGTAGTACATGAGCGAGGTGCCTACTTTAATTTAAAGCGATCGATCGACGGTGCACTGCGGAGCGTAGGTAGCTGTTAGCTCCCTTTCTTTGGCTAACCATTTCCCTCGATCCCGGCGTAGAATGTGTGGAAACCGATCGCTTTTGCCGTAGGTAATGTCAAAAGAAGGCAACGACACCGTCAGACGCAGGTAACGTGAAGTTGATCGCCGTGGATTTTGTTAGACTTGCTATTGTAGTCTTATTATGTAATTCATATCATATTGGTATAGGACTTGTATGACACC